TAATATGTTGATCATTCCTCTTAATAATAATATAAGGATTTTGACGATGTCTTTATTACGTCTGGAGTATGGTTTCATCATGTTATGCTGCTTTTTAACGATCTTGTGGTAGTACCTACTTAAAAATATATATTTTTTTTAATTAGATTAAATTAAAATATATTTTAATATGCCAAAAATATTTTAAAATCATATTCACTTGAAAATGTTATTTATATAAAGCAAAAATATTCTTAAATAATTAAAATATTTTTTGTTTAATGAATGGTGAAATATAAATAAGCAAGCATGCAATCACACACAGGTGGAAAGGAGAAGGTGGAACTATAGAGATGTGGAAAGAGAGAGATGGAGAAAGAGAGAAGTGGCAAGAGAGAGAGGAAGAGAGAGATGTGGAAAGAGAGAGGTAGAAAATGAGAGAGGTGGCAAGAGAGAGGAGGAAGAGAGAGATGGAAAGAGAGAGAGGTGGAAAGGGAGAGATGTGGAAAGAGGCGGAAACAATATTAAATCATTATTATGCGCCGGACAGATGGCACACCACGCAAGCACGAATCACAGATTTTTGTATTATATAGATAGATTTTAATGAAGATTATGAACGATTCAAATGCGAAATTTAGTTCAAATTTAAACGCCCAAATACCACATCAACCAGTAAAAAATAAGATTTGAAAAGTGATGGTCAGTGGGATATATACCTCAGCTAAGAGACAAAGAAAGCGAAAAAAATCAAATGACAAATTCAAACAAGAATAAAAAAGGGGCAGAGACCTATCTCGGAAAGGACTCTACAAGAAGAAAATCAGTTCTGAGGGAGAAATCATGGTAGGGTAAAATAGAAACTAAAATAGAAATACACAGAAAAGAGTTTAAGAACATTTGCAGACAGAAAATCACGTGAAAGCAAATGTGGCACCTAAGAATGAAATCAGAAGACACCATGAATAACATAAAGAATAAGAAAACAGCACCAGCCTACAAATACACCCCCAAAGATGATAATCATTACCTAGAAGATAATGTATCAAAAATGAAAAAAATATCCAAAAGAAATAGATAAATAAATTAAGACTATAAAAAAAAAAAATGAGTAATACATATAAATAAGCAATCTAAAGAGTGATGATCATAACTATATTCCGACGGAGAGGGATTATCTGGGTGCAGAGCTCCTGAGATTAAGCTTATATTTATAATTGTAAAACTCGCAAAAAGTGCGTTTTATCAGACATCTTGATGTGTCTTATATGTTGCCAGAATTAGATGCCCTTGCTTAATAGAGGTATCTAATTTGAATATTCCGTTTTAAAATAATCAAAATAAATGCAATTTGTTTTTGTTTCAGAAGATAGCTGAATCTACAAAGCTTTTCTACACTCTCTCATTTTAATGAAACTACAGAAGGAAAAAATGATTTTCAAGAAACTATCAACTTTTGAACACCCCATATAAAAAGAGACGCGGAACCCGAGAAATCCTCACACAGTAAATGTTATTAACTGTAAATGCTTGATTATTGATTTCTTTGTGTAATCACAGAAAAAATGTTTCCATGTGTGTGTGCGCGTCTAAGCTGATAGTTCAAGTATAACATAACCCAGCTAATACTAGACAAGAGTAGCTCTGTATGACTAACGAAGAGAGTGTTGGGTTATATTTTAGAGACGAGCTATCGTATTTTTTGAAGTACCTACACCTGAATTATAATCATGGAATTTTAATAGAAATCTCACGGAAGCAGGAAAAATGATTTCATTTTTATGTAAATTTTGTTGTGAAAATACGCACTGGCAAATAGACATATATATATATATATATGTGTGTGTGTGTGTGTGTGTGTGTGTGTGTGTGTGTGTGTGTGTGTGAATATATATATATATATAGTATATATATATATATATATATATATATATATATATATATATGCGTGTGTGTGTGTTTGGACACTATTTACATTATTCGGGCTATTGTCGCCATATTTATTACAACGTCTCGGCCGTTGTAAGCTCCGGTCCTCTTCAGTTGGTTGAATATCGAACTAAACCCTTTATTTCACTCACTGGGGTAGACTGTTCTAGTTCCACGTGCCATATTTAATGGATGTCAGTTATCAGTTATCTCCTGTTAATTTCCGTCTGAAAGTTCGACTTAACCGGGTATTGCACTCACACTCTTTGGGTCCTGTCACTAGATCTAACTAAGGCCTTTATCCATGTGTCCTGAGGACATCTGTGTATGAATTTCTGGGTATTATAAACCTAAAGTTTTCAGCAACCATTTTACTAGTGCTCAGTGCGTGCGTGCGCGCGTGCTCGTATGTGTGTGTGAATTTTTTTTTTTATAAAACCTTTCAGATTTTCGAATAAGTTGTTTTCTGTTATCAGTAATTTTGCCAAAAATCATATTTTTCTTTGATATTATTTTTCCTGGTTACTTCCGAATGCTACTACTGAGTATATTTACGCAATTGGTTTAGAATTCCGTTCGATGGAACCAAGTTCAAGTTATTCAAGGTGACGTCATATAAATTGAAATTTGAAATATTTAATTAAGAAATTGACAGAACTTATCTATATTATTTAAGGAAACATTTGAGAGAATTCTAGTTGCCCAAAAACACATTTGGATTGATTCTCATTGACCAGTCATGTATCACGCGCATTAAAACCGAGGTTAATCTATATGCATGCAAGTTTGATATGCAAAAAATTTGATATGCCTAAGCGGGCATCGAATGGTCATGTGTATTCGTAATTGTGTATGTGTGTCTGTCTAGTAAGCGCAGTTCTAACATTATTATAAAACAGTTCAAAGTTATTTCTTCTGCTACCACATAATTTAAAGAAAATTTGATGTGCGTAGGTCGTTACATTTCACACAAAAAATTTTGTTTCATGGTTTACTTTCGATGAAATTCGCATTTAATTTCGATTATACCCAAGTTTTTTTTCTAAGTTAGAAATGTTGATATTGTGCAAAAAGAAATTCATGTGAAAAAAAATATCACGTAAAAAAAGCAGCCGCAAACAATCGTAGTAATTAAATGTATATATGTGTGTGTGTCGGCGTGCGTGTGTGTGTGCGTGTCTGTATATATATATATATATATATATATATATATATATATATATATATATATATAAATATGTGTGTGTGTGTGTGTGCATATTTATATCAAAATATAACAAAGTAGAAAGGTTGGAATTTTCTCTGACAGGATTTATTGACGTTGCCAGGTCTACATGCGCACGAAACGTTTTAAGAAACCTTTCCAGTTTGTCATATTTTTGTAAATACTGTTTGTTGATATATAAAATTATATATAGTTATATATCATATATATATATATATATATATATATATATATATATATATATTATATACGTATATACATATATATATATATATATATATATATATATATATATATATATATAAGTAAACATTGAAGTCATTACTTAGAGGCGACAGTCTGTTTCATGCTAGATGCAATCGTGGCCTGACGATTGCGTCTAGTATGAAAAAGCCTGTCGCCTCCAAGTGTTTACTTCAATGTTCACTTTTATAATTACACACGCTCTATCTCTGATATTGAGCACTTTATCCCATAAACATAGCACACCTTAAGACTATATTTACTATATTTCTTCATATATATATATATATATATATATATATATGAATTGCAGAAAGCGTTCTAACTAGATTCGAATGATTTGTAAGTGTTTCATGGAAGCAAGTTTTATTTTAACAAACCGTCTGCTATTCATTGCTTATATAGTACATATACGTAAGTAATCTAATATTTCCACTCTCTGAAGATTAAATGTGCTTTGATTTAACACTAAATTTATTAGTTACGATACCGTCTCTTTCTTTTGGAAAACATTTACATTAGTGTTTAACATTAATCAAATAGGCTTAATATTATACAGAGAAAATTTCCGATCAAGTTTCATCTACTCAGTCTACAGACCTTTTGATGCGTATCACCGCCATATATAGCTTTTCAAGATTCTTTGTAATATGTTTATTTACATGTTTCTGTTTATTTATCCATGTATTTGTGAGCATTTAGACTTCCTTATGTGGAAGTTAATGTGTTTCAATCTTCGTTTGTGCCTCTGATCATAATTAAAATCATAACAGATTTGATTTTCCTGCTGTTTTCAAAAAAATATCAAGGGCCCGCTTTCCTCCATTAATTACGTAGACAAGGTTTCTATCGATATTAAAATAAGTTTTCTCTTTACCGTATCCTTTTTTTCATTCCTTTCCTTGAGACAAGAGCGGCTTGTTTGTTTAGTTTTTTTTTTTTTTTCGCAAGGATTATTGTTTTTATTTAAAAATTATTGTGATTTTTCTCCCCTTTTTTTCTCTTTTCTCAAATAAATTGTCTTCCTCTTCTTCTCTATTTTTATGAATATTTTTTTTGTGTTTTCCCTTCTGCAGCCAGTTTGTGTCTTTTGTGTCAGTTGTTGTGCGTCCAGCCCCTCTGCTGTAATTTCCATATCTCTATTTCTTCTCTGTTCGTTCGATTCTTTATTTTATTTTCTTGTTATCGTGATTTTGTCGCCCATCTTCTTTGTTAGATGAAAAGAAGGTTTCAAGAATGAAACCCATTGGGATGGATGCTAATATTTTGCAGAAAATGAAGAAAACGTAACATAATCAAAAAGGAAGAAATAAACAATCATTGAATGAATGGAAAGAAAGAAAGAAAGAAAGAAAGAAAGAAAGAAAAAGAAAGAAGGAAAAAAGAAATAAAGAAGGAGAGAAAGAAGGGTGGACATAAGAAAGAAGAAGAGAATGATATCACAAAATTAAAATAATAAAAAAACAATGTAGTCTAAAATATCGAAATAATAATGACAACAGTAATAATGATAATAATACCGAGAAGAAGAAGAAGAAGAAGAAGAAGAAGAAGAAGAAGAAGAAGAAAATGAAGGCAGTAAATATGATCGAAAAAGAAGGAAATAAACGAAGGAAGACCTTAATTAAAATAGGTTGAAAAAGAAAGAGAAAGTAATGGAAATAAATAGGTTGAGTTTGGCAATTGTGGAGAGAGAGAGAGAGAGAGAGAGAGAGAGAGAAATAGAAAGAAGGCCGAAGAGAGATTCAAAGAAAATCGAGCTGTAGTCGACATTAATAACTAAAGAAAAGAAAGGAAAACTGAATAAGAATCTGTGGGTGTGTTGTTGAGGGTAGGAATTAAGCCGAGTCTGCAAAGATGGAACGCCTTTCTTAATTCCGCCAACATCAAATATCGTGAGGGCTGGCAGAATAAAGGAAAGGGAAAAGATGCTGGTGGTGGGTTGGGTGTGGCAATGGATGGACGGATAGGATGGAGTTGGGTAGTGGGCGCAGTGTGCCGTGTCGGGTTAGTGAACATTCACAGGGTTCGTTATTGGCGGTGGGGATAAGTTTCGCGATTCGGATGTTGCTTGCAATCGTTATGATTGCATGACAACAGTATAGGCGCGGTGAGTATGCTGATGGGGATGTTGGTCGCGAGAAAGTATTTTGGTACCGGTATGCGTAAGATAGAGATCGTACTGGTGACGAAAGTATTAACATTGTGGATGTTCTTACACAAATCGAGAACGTAAAAATCCGATCAGTGAGGTATGGGTTGTGTTAGTATTGGTGTTGAGGATGTGCGAAAGCTTATAAAAAAAATTGGGGATATGTTCCTTTTTGTAAAAGGGTTTATGAGTAAAAGAAAGGTAGTTAGATTTATAAGTCTAAAATATTCGTACACTGATGACTCTAAGAATAGATGGTCCAGTGAATAAAAGCGTTGTTTGAGGTAATCCATTGACTTGACCCAATGAGTTGTTAGTTCAATACCTGGCTACAGCAGATGTGAACTTGGAGACTTACAAAGAAGAAATATCTGAAATTGAGATATCCAAAAACGGTATGTCACGTGGAACTACCCCGGTGGACGAAATAAATGGTTCGATTCGAAATTTCAATGTATATCACCTGAAGAAAGCCGGAGAGTACAACGGCCGAAACGTCGTCAATATGAAGACACCAGACAAACAGTGTAAACAGTGTTAATAGTTACAATGCCTCATCTCAGAAATATAGACAGTAATTTATAATTATTTGATAAAAACACCTTATAACATTGTCAAATAATAACAAAATAATTATGACGAAAATCTAGTGTTTAAAATGCTAATTCCAGTAGACAAAAAGAAGCTTTCAATCACATAAAAAGTAAATAATGTACATCGTGTTGGAAATGGTGTTCCCCCGGAATTGCAGACTCATACGATTTGTTGTTGCAAAATTTCTTGAATTTTCGTGCTCAACACATCGCCAAACAAATGCCAGAATAGACATCTTTGTTAGGTTCCGAATAAAGAAATAAACTTCCAGAAGAACAATATTGTCTTAACAGAAAGAATCTGAAAACCTGGATAAATATTTAGACATTATAATGTATTGATGACATGGTGTACCATGAAAGTGGAAGATGAGCCCATAATTACCGCTGAATTTGGTCAGCCTCGAAAAGATTTGAAATGGAAATGGTAATATTAACTTTTACTTTACAAGGAAATATTCGGCATTTGTCCGAGCAGCCGAGGCTACTTTCGGACGAATTTTATAAAATATTTCAATTAAAATATTTTTTTTCCAGAAAAATGGTTTTCTGAAGTCCACTAAGGGTTATTGTTCTTTCTGTCATTGAATAAGGACGTTGAATACAAATGACCGGTTTGTCTATAAGAAAAGAATAAAGATTAATGTGAAAAAGTAGGATTGATACAGGAGGAGGCAAAAAAATCAATTGAAATCCGATTTAGATAGTAGATGTTTTAGAAATCGAATGAACAGATTGCGATTGTCTGTAAAGAGATAATCTAAATCTTTCTAAAACTGGGCAAAAATGAAAATAATGAATTTGAATGGAAGTTTAAAACTTTAATAATGATGCAGAACGTCTTGGCCCGATGCGTTGAATTGTCAACGGAGAAACTAAAATTTTGTCTCTAGAAGAGATTACAAAGTAATTACATTAGATCAATGATTCCCAACTTGGGCCGCATGCCCCACCAGTAGGGCTTGTTAATATTTTGGTGGGGCATGCGTAGTATGTGCACTCTTCGGCTAACTATACCAATATTAGCTCAAATTTAGTTTTGCATTATTATTTCATGATTAAAATGATCAAAGTATATTACAGAATAAGCTTTCATTCAAATAGTTTATATTTCTGCCATTCAGTTCTCTATCATCTGTTTTGAAAGTATATATATTTAATTGTTTTTTTTTTTTTTTAATTTATCTCTTTCCTGGACGTAATGGTCTTTGGAGGATTGTCCAGAGAGCAAGTTAATGGACTTTCCTTCACATGAATTGCTGTAGAATATTGAGTATGTAAGAATTAAATATTACAGGGGGGGGCACCAGAAGTGTAGAAAAACCAAAGTGGAGCATGGCCCCAAATCGGTTGGTAACCACAGGATTAGATTAATAACACATCAAGATGACAATGAGTATTTTTTTAATGTTCGTAAAGGTTACTCGGATTTATTAAAATATATTATATATAAAATGTTAATGTTTTGGAATAAAAACAAAGTCAAGAAGAATAAGTATATGCGATAATCTTATCATAACGCTACTTTCGTTGTCTTTTAATCAGGAAAAAGTAATGTTAATCCAAGTTCACAAGATGATTATCCATTAAGGAAAATCAAGTAAGATAATGCACTAAAAATATTATACAAACTTTAGAATATGAGAAAATTAGTGTAACAAACCTATATCGGCGTCAGTCACTTTTCCACTACCTTCGCTTTTTCTATAAATACTTTCATGTTAATTTCATTAACTTTTATCCATGGCACCTTGATTTTATAAATTTAAACGCAGTACTAGATTGGCGGTAAGGTCTCATCATTTTCCATTTGAAATAGCTAGATGTAACCGTAAGTTCTATGCTGAGGATTCATTCTCTCGCACTTCTCGCTTGTGGAAATCCCTTCTAACTTCTTGCTTTCCAGTCAATTTTGATCTTTCAATTCCTGTTCCTTTATTTTTCTCTCTCCTTAATAATCTTTTTTTTTATTTTTCTCATATTCTTTCACGCTCACTAAACCTATGCATCCTAATGGCTTTATTTCCTTGTTTGGAGTAAAATGATTAAAAATAACTGAATAAATCGAAGGGAATCAAACTTAAATGTTTTGCGGATGTGATTCACTGGATATAAGGCACAGGAATCTATTTTAATTGCGCAGTCAAATAATACACAAAAAATTCTCCTTTGAGAAAAGAACTATAAAATTGTTCAAGACTTCAAAATACAAAGTGAACTCAAGTATAAGATGATAAATCTACGTGTAGTACACACAGGAATATAACAGTCTCTACAAAATATTGTATAAAACATTTCCAGCTGCACACTGAACTAACTAGACCGTTCGTCAGAACGCCCCATGTGTCATCATTGGGGTTTCGTTTCCACATATATTGCGAGTGATAAACCGCTACTCTATGTGTTCCAGCCGTTTCCATCGGATTCGGAATAATTAGGTCTTACCCATTGTCCAGTACAAATTATCTTTTTCATGGCAGCATAGAATTTCAATGTCATCTAACATCCTCCTGCTAATGCCTTCAGGGTAACCCTAACGAGGTAGTGTTTTCTGGTATTATCATTTACTAAGGAGCAAATCTTCATTTGATCGCTGGGCTACATATGGTTCTGAATTGCAAGTTCTCCTTCTCATAGATAGCCCATCACGAACATGCTGTTTAACCTATCACTGGGGTTGACAATGTCAGCGGGTGGAAACCGGTTGTAAGAGAAATAAAAATAATTAGTAAACCTGGGGAAAGTTTATAAGGATGTGGAGAATATGTGATTGATAGTAGTGTCCATCGACACTGGTGCACTAGGAATATTTTCTAAGACAAATATATCTAAACTGCACAACTTGATTAAACCTATAGGCAGAAAAGATGAGAAAAATGCCGTAAGTATAAGCATCAAGCTAGGGTTTCATGATGAATCAAATTCATTCTGTAGAGAAATTGGATATCAGAAATAGAGTTACAAAAAATATGAGAGAGAATCGTGAATGAAGATCAGGACCTGTCTTGAGAGAAACGTGTCTGCATCAAAATACAAACAGAGAAACAAAACTGACATAATGCAGAGACGTCCACTCAAACTTATATTGAAAAAAAACAGGAACAAATGTTTTATAATCGAAACAGGAAAAATGTAAATACCTACCATCTCTTAGGGGCAAGGACTGAACGAAAGCAAAAGTCGAAAATAAACACATCAATAGACAGAATTATGTTCATGAGAACTGGAGAAATTCAAGGAAGCCTGAAGATCTCTGTAAAGAATTTGAAAGAACTGGAAATCCAAGCAAGAAGTGAAACCACACTGACAATTGTATTGCTCAATGCGGTAAGAATACTAAATAAAATGTTGGAGTATTCAGGCGGATTGTAATGGAAGATTGCATGATAATAAGGCCATAAAATAGATGAAAAATAATGCATATAACTCATTTAAAGGCCACTCAAAGCCGATATTAACCTTGATGTAAACTTACTCACAAAGATTTGGAGATCTGATTAAACAGACATATATTGGGAAGGGAAATATGTCTTGACATGTAGACCACTTTTCAGCATCCTCGCATATATATATATATATATATATATATATATATATATATATATAATCAAATATGGGCATCCACTAAAATAACATATTCGTCTGACATTTTGACATTTTGCATTGATTGGTTATATTTATTATCGCTGCATAAAGAAACTTTCATCATTGCTTTTTATTTTAATTAGTTCTACGTGTTTAAATAATTCATTGCTTTCTAAAATAAATATACATATGAATATGTAAGCAAATGTAAATGGATATAGATCCGACAGAATGAAGAAAAATTTGGAAAAAACAAACAAAAATCCTTACATGCAATTATGTTGTTTAAAATGAATATATATTGTTCTGTGTTTGGGCAGCAATCCTTCTTCTACGCATGTTATACTGAACACGACAGACATAGTATTTTTTAGAATTATTTAAATGGATGCTGACAAGTATTCACGTTTCTTCATTTAATGAATATAACCATTGTACTAATCTTTCTCAGTTATTCTGTTAGTCATTTCAGCAAATTGTATAGCGTCTACAATAAAACTTATGATAAGAAAAGCAAAAGTCTAACGATCAACGAAACACACACACACACACACACACACACACATATATATATATATATATATATATATATATATATATATATATATATACATACACGCACACAAAAACACAATAACACTCACAAACAAACAAACACAGACACACAATCATTAACCTCTATATTTGTTTTTTGTATGAATGATTCATGAATTTATATATATATATATATATATATATATATATATATATATATATATATATATATATATATATATATATATATATATATATGGTTGAATAATCTGGACATATTATATATATTTTATTTTAATCCTCTTGAATTCTCGGATCGACTTCTTAATTATGCTATTTAACTTCATTGAGGACGGCGACGTAGTTTTTTTATATATCTTTCAATCAGGTCCAACATCATCTTCAGGGGTGAAATTGTCCTCCTAGCAATTCACCCCTGAAGACAATCTTTTCTACACAGATGAAATCATTGATACACTTCAGCTTTTTAAAAAAAAAATTAAGTCAGATGCCATCAGAGAGCCGCAAATCAGCTACAAGGCAAAATACTTATAGGTTGTTGGTGGCAGGGTTCACTCTCTTCCACCATAATTGCCCTTGTCTGCTTCCAACATCTTTAACGTTAACTGCCTTTCTGTAAGTTTTCGAAAATATATCCAAATAATTATCAAAATTGTTTTTAGTAAAACATAATGTGGAAATTACAATGAAAAATAAGAAGATTACTGATGAAAATAAAATAATTATACTTTCTAAAAAAGAATATTGGATTCAAAATTGTTTTTATGCTTCTTAATTGTGATGGCTTAGCCCTAATATATATTACTGTAATAAACACACAACAAATAAATCAATTATTATAATATATAAAATAGCAGCAAAATGTCAAACAATTACAACAGTGTAAATATAAGAAATCTACTGAATAATGAATTATATCATATGAAATATTGTATTGGAATGAATAATGAAACTTTATCATCCCAGCCAAGAAAGATTCCAAAATAAATTATCATTTTAGAAGCAGGACCCACCGAAAACCTTTCATCCTCTCCTCGGAAAATATAATGTATAGAAAATCAAAATAAATATTACAGAAGTGAAACAGGAATAAAATTATTGCCAGCAAAATAATTATTAATATCGCCTCAAATAATACATTTATAATATAATGATAGATTAACTGATCTTACAGGCTGTTGACAGTTAACACAATCGTTAGTGCATAATCTAACATTACAGACTTGTGTTGAAATAGATCTTCCCTTAAATATTGTAGTAACTGAGAACAAGTGTTGATATTCAAGAGATTTTCTTTCACTGGTTATGAGGTGTTTATTAATAAATGCATGCATTGATGGGAATATTTTGTTTTCATTAAGCGGATGTTAGCAGTAATTGTAGAGGGATTAACTCGAATAATAATAGTCTTTTTTACATTGTTGGTTATAAAGAATACAGTAATGGAATTAGTAGACATGGCGATGGTATTTAATGAGTAGAAGTGAACAAAATCAAGGAGGAGGGAAAAATAAAGAAGAAAGAAAAGTAAAATTAAGATGAAGAGAAAATAGCAAGTAGAACATGAATTTATTGAATAACTGACTTATTTTTTACAGGTTATCAACTCTGTGGGATATTTAAAACAGAAGCATATTTTGGATAGTATGAATATTGATTTTGTTTTTTCGAATGAATAGTTTATTAGAAACTTTTCTTTGAGAATAACAATAATTTTAAAATATCTGTCTATATCTTTGAGATGAGGTATTATGATTATTTACATTATTTACATTATTCTGACTGTTATCCTCATTTTCATTGCCATATTCACGATGTTTCGGCCGTTATCCGCCCCGGCCTTCTTCAGGTGATTGCCATGACACGTGGAACTAGAACTACTCCGGTGGAGGGAATAAAAGGTTCGGTTCGAAATTCCAATCAACTGAAGATGGCCGTAGCGTACAATGACCAAAACAGTATGAATATGGCAATGAAGATGAGGATAACAATCCGAATAATGTACATAATGTAAATGATAACTTTTCAGTCCTATTATTTAATTCACAAATTGTCGGATGAGATGGATTCATAATTATGCTAAGGTTATTTGCGTGAAAGTGAATTCATCGAATCCGACTGCAGTTCGAACTAAGCTCTCGAACTTTTCATTAGTGAAATAGAAAAAGATGAAAAAAGAGAGAAAGAAAAAAGAATTTGTCAAAAGAAAGATTAATGAAAAGAAAGAGGCTCAATACAGAGGGAAAGATTGTGAAGAAATCGAGAAAAGGAAAGAAGAAAAAGAAAAAAACGAAGGAAGATAAACCCGCATGAGAAAGGTGAAAAGAACAAAAACGGAAAGAAAAAGACCATTTAGCATTTGCATTGTTCTCTTTTGGTCAGCAAAACATGTTCATCTTAGTGGTAAACACTCTGGCTAAAACTAATGCCAACGGCAAAAGGTCTTCTATCCAATCTTCATGCTTTTGTTTCTATTGGCAGTTTTGACGGTGGCCGTGCTTGTGATGTTGGCAGCGTGGGAGAAGTCCTTGAATTAGAAGAAAGGTACACGAAGCATGGGGAAGGGAGATTAGATTGAGAATTGTGACTGGAGACTGATCAGAGAGACAGAAGTGGAAGGAACCGGGTTGAGATAGGAGTGGCAGTCATTCAGCTGTGGTGGCTTCTTAGCGCACGGGACCCACTGACGGTGCGCTTGGCTAAGTCGGTTTCCGATCGACACGCTCCAGTGAATATAGAAAGCTAGAGGTTGCAGATGAGGTGTGGGGAAACGCAGCTGTAGGGAAAAGGCGAGAATCGAGCGGGTCGGGGCTTGATGGGAGAATGGTGGGTCGGGAAGGGATGTATTTGAGAGTGGTTAGGGAGACCAGGGAAGCAATCATATGTGACGCCGGGGAGGCCTGTCGTCTATTACTTGCAAACCAGACAATATATACAATATCAAGCTGGCGTTGGGCCGGCCGGAGGGTGAGGACTCCCAAAAAAGATGAAGATGATGATTATGATGATATTGTGCAAGGCAGCGGGAAAAGATGGCGGATGGAAAATGAAGGATGGAGATGCTGATTGTAACGACATCGACCGTGACTGCTGAAGACGATGCGAATGAAGGTGACTGTTTTGAAAGAACGTCGAAGACGATATTCTTTAAAATGAGGCGCCAGAATGTAAAGAGTAATCATTCTTGTTTTTTCTTTGTTCTTTCCGTCTCTTTTTAAATGTCTCTCTTTTTGTTTTCCCAATATTTCTCTCTTTTATTTTTACATTAAAATAATATATTTCCTTTTTTAATTTTTAGGGAATTTCATTAATCCTACATATTTGTGGTTAATTTTCAAAATTTACTTTCTACTTTTGTTGATTTCGTTCTCTTTCCCGCACACTGTCTCTCTCTTTTCCTTACACTTTATATAAAAATAATAATATCTTAAAAATAATATTATCTTTTCCATAAGAAAACTAGTTATATGTTTTGCTTCTCTTATATCGGTATTTCAATAAAACAGCAGAATATAGTTTCATAAATAGAAATTTCTTAAAATATGAACGAAAAATCTTATATAAAAGATAAACTGATTACACGACAAAATATGTTCACCTGACGATTCCAACCAATTCCTAAGGATAGGGCCGTTGGACAGTACCCCAAACCCCTTGATCGGGTGAATGACACCTGATTAGGGGTCCTGTCAGTGATATGTGGCCCTCGCTATCTTATCAATATTTGCTTTGTCATACCTATATTTATATACGTTACAAATTAAACTAAATACAACTATTAAAGGATTTTGATGTCATTCTAGAGTAAAATTTGTACTAAAATTAATCAAGTTTTTAACAATAAAGATATCAAGTTGATGTTAAATTTTGCCGCAAAACATCGTTGATTTATTTTTAAAAAAGTGATCTACTATGACATGTCTCTAATATGTATTTAGATAAATTGTATTTATTTCCAACTTTTCTACTTGAATTGTTAAACTATATTGCACATGATTCATTATTATACATAATTAGGTTACAATATTTATGTATTTTGGTGAATAGTACCTAATTGTGATGTAGTATAGTGAGGGGTATCATAGATTCTTGGGGACTGGTCTGTATAATAGATTCGGTAGGGGAAAGAGATCCTTGCACTGGCCCTGCGTAAGGGCGGCACATGTATTGCAGCTATGGAAGTAGTCTTGAGTCTAAACATGATAGTTTGACGGAATCCATTCCTCTTCAGGTTGGATATAAAATATCACACAAAAGTATATACAAATTCAATATGGAAAAAAAAAATTGGTTAAGAAAGAAAACACTTTATATGCAAATTTAACTAATTGAATTGATATTGTTATTTATCTAATTAAATTTCTATGTTTATTTTAAAAGTACACAATGTCGTGCTTGGAACTGTAGGAATTTAATGAGTCTAGTATCAAATTAGTATCAAAATACGATTAGGAAATATATTTTGATTATAGTTTTTCTGAATGTATTTCTGTACGAGTTTCCTTCTCTATACTTATCTGTCTATCCATCTAATATCTAGGAAGCTACCCATCAGTCTATACTTAAGTATGGTAAGTGAAAAGCAAATATGTGTTTTACTAATATTGCAAATGGAAAAAAAAGTGAATTATGTGATTAAGATTCCTGGCTTAGACTTGAATATCTACAACTGGTGCCAATGTGGTTTTAATGGCAATTTCTATTAAAACTTGGCTACTAAAACCAGTCTATATACGAGTGGTTCAAATGGGGGAACAGGCAGGTTTTAGTAAGACCAGATCATCTACCATGGCACCAACGGGGAAACAGGTCATTTTATTTGAAAACCTGATAACCAACGAATGATGTCAATGGAAACATGCATTTCTATTAATATTTGACACCCTCCGAATGGGGGGGAGGAGGAAGTTTTTATGAATACTTGATAAACTGAAAATAGTTCTAATGAGGAAACATACAATTTTTATTAAGAGCAGATCAACTACAAATGGTGCCAATGAGAAAAATAGAAGAGTAATAAAGACCTGACAACGAGTGTTTCAAATGGGAATACAAGTTCTGGTGAGACCAGATCTCCGACGAGTGGTACCAAAGGAAAACAGCAATGTTAAATAAAACCTGACGCCCTACGAATAGTGTAAATGGGAAAACAGGCAATTTTTATTAAGACATCTCCACCTATGAACCCAGAGTGTGATGTATAAATTGTCGTATAATCGACGCAAAAATTAATGTAATACTGATATATCATTTTAACAGGTATATTTACCAAAATTACACAAAAATATCTTGAAATACTGAAGTGTAGATTTATTCAATAAAATCACCATTGGCTTCAAGCACGACCTCCAGACAACTTCCGAATCTTCTGCATCTCTTCTGGACGGTGTCCTTGTTTAAATTGGTGTATGCTGCCATAATCCTTGCCTTCAGTTCATCTTTGTTGTTAGAAGGAGTTTTGTTGGTCTCTCGTTCAACTGCATCCTATGCAGAATAATCAAGGGGATTGCAGTCTGGGAAGTTAGGCGGCCAGATGTAACGGTTGATGTGGTCGCAGGTATTGTCAGACAGTCATGATTGGGTTCTCCTGTTGCCAGACATATGGTCTTCCAGTAACTACCCTCTTGATCCAGGGCGTCTCTACCTCCTCAAGACACTCAATGTAGGCCTCCGTGCTGAGTCTGTGGCTTTCACCAAAAAATTCGGGTGTTCTTTTCTTACCGGAGGATGTTTTCCGATATGCGGTACCTTCATAACCACCATTAGACTCATCCAACTCTTTCTGAATGCTCTGCACCGTCCTCAGATTGAGACCCAAACGCTGAAATATTCGTATTGGAGCTTCTGGCGCGAATACGTAAGAGTACAGCATGCCGTTTCCAAATTTCAGGTGGAATAAATTGCGTTATGACACTCTTTTTCTCACTGACGCTGCCCAACTGACCTTACTAATCTGTGCAGTCTACAAAATCAAAATAAACAACGCGAAATTAAAAAATTATATGGCGACATTGCACCCATCGAACCCTGTAGTGTCAATGAAAAAACAGACAATATTTATCAAGATTTGAACACCAATGGATTGTTCTAATGGAGAAACGGGGAATTTTAATCAAAACCTGATCGCGAAGAAATGGTGCTAATGGGTAAGCAGATAATGTGTAGACGTGGCAGCATCAACAAAGCCCAGTCCGATGAAATTCTAACGGCTGAAATGTTTATTCCAATTAGTCAACTCTATTTTTCCAATTTGTCATACTGTTTGTTGATATGAAAATGATATAAAATGTTATATTGTTATATCACACACACACACACACACATATATATATATATATATATATATATATATATATATATATATATATATATATATATATATATATATATATGCAGCAACTTTCTTTAAAACATGATTTGTTGAATATGAAAAACAATGAAAATTTACTTAATTTTTTATTTAGTTTTTCCAGCGTCCTTACATTTTTTTTTTGTTTGGTGGGTCCAATACTCTTCCATATTGTCTATTATCTCAAGTGCTTTCGGCCACTTTTTTAGCCATTTTAAAATTTTTCTAGTAGTTGTTACTTTCTCTTAATGTTTTGACTATTTAAGATGTTTTTTTTTTATGTTGTCTTGAATATTAGTAGGAGCGTAGATTCCAAACCTAAGCGTGTTGAATGCGGAATGATATTCAGTGAGCGTCTTTCTATTTTTTTTGAAAGCATTTCATCACTCCATTCCCCCTGTTAAATAATTTGAGTTTGATAGTGCGAGTGGGGTGTATAATATTAAAGGGCCTCACTTATAGCGACTTGTTTCCTAGTATCGTATGGAATTTTAATTTTTTCCACCAGAATTTTTATGATTTCTTGTAAATTGTTAGTAGATAGATGTTTTCTTTTTCTATTAAACTTTGATCTAATAAATGACATGTGAAGCGTCTACTCAATGACGTTGTAATATCTATCTATCTATCTATCTATCTATCTATCTATCTATCTATCTGTGTGTGCGCGTGCATGTGCGCGTGTGTTTATGTGCATGTGAGCGTGGGTTTCAGTGTATTTGTGTGTTGTACGTAAGCATGTGTACGTGTGCGTGATTGAGTGTGCAATGTAGTTATGCAAGTATGATTCACTGTCTAAACAAGTTGCTATTTCTCACTGGGTAAAAAGTTTGGGAAGTCTTTTGGAGCGAAGACTGCCCCGCACCCTCCACTCACAGCGACAGAACGACAGACACGCATATATATATATATATATATATATATGTGTGTGTGTGTGTGTGTGTGTGTGTGTGTGTGTGTGTGTATGCACATTTCTGGGGATTGGAATTATTTTTTGTAGTCGTTAGAGATCTAAACGATAATGACTTTGAACATCGTGTTTCTAATATCCGTTCGTTTTACCGCGCAAAAATATTTTGGGTGGGAAAAACGAATATATCCTCAGAACAAACAGAAATGAAACAATAAAATATAAATAATTTAGCAAAATACTTACAAAAGTAAATAAATCTCTCCGCTTTTAATAAATTTAATATAAAGAATAGCGGCCAAGTTACAAAGATACGCCATGTAGAAATGACGATAAACAAAATGAGTCGAAACGGCATACGCATTTACCTAGATATGTGTGCGCATGTGTTTTTATGTGTGCATGTATTCGCGTGCAGAAATGTGTGTGTATGTATGTGTGCGTGTTCACGAAGAAAAATCAATAAAAAAATCAAAATGAAACCTATTGCTTTTCATCTACTTTTTCTCACCCAACCAGCAAGTTCCCTGTCTATGTGTACACGTAACTTTTCCAAACGCCATGTTTACCGAAATTCTAAAGCATCCGGCGCAACGTGAATAAACTCAATAGGATGATGATTT